TTGATGTCTGGGTTTGTCGCATGTGACCAGTCATTCTGCATGCTATTCATTGTTTGTGTTCTAGTTTGTATTCTCAGTGTCTGAACTTCCAGGGATCTGTTTGAGACCTATATTCTTCTTTTCATTTTTCTTCATTTGTGTAGATTTTCCTCCCCAGTTTTTCCTTTTGTTCCCCTCATCTTCTTTAATTCTGTTGTTCAGGGGTGGAGGGGTTGCTTTTACTTCTGTTTGTTCAATCTCCTATTCTTCCTTATGCATATCCTCTGGCTTTGTTCATTTATGGATCTAGACTGTAGATTGTGAGTGATCCTTTTGCAATTTTGAGATTTAATTGAGGGGGGAGCTGTGATTCAAAATCCATCTGTAGATCCCAGTATCCACTGACAGGTGTATGGATAATCTGGATCCCACTTCCCTGCCTTGTGATCTGCTCATGCAGTGAGGTGATAGGTTTACTCCTTGAAAGCAAAATGAGGTAAGAAAAGGGAAAAGTATGGGACAGGGATTGGTGGGAAGATGGAGGTGGAAAGAGAGAAGAGTAAGAGGGAAAACAGACAAATGTACCAAATAACAAATGAAAAGAGACATGAAGACAGATACAAGTAAACAAAAACAACAACAAATAAACCAACATATGAAAAAACTAAAACATAACAGTCATACAGACATGCAAGCTAACCAACCAGTCTCATGGCTCCAACTGATTTCTTTTTCCACTGCAACCTGAGACTGCTGGGCAATGCAGTCCAGCGTAGCACTGGGCTACTCAGGCCAGGCTGGGTGGAAGTTGTGGGCTGTCCACAGTGGGAGGGAGCAGACAAGAGTGGCAGCATTGCCAGTTGATGTTTCAGCAGTTCATGAGAGGAGTTCCACAAACCTGGCTCTGGGTGAGGGGTGGGGTGCAGCAGTGGCAGTGGTGGTGGCAGTTTCAGTAGTGCAGTGCTTGGGGGGGCTTCATGTGTCTGAGAGCTGTCGGTCGCCTCAGGCAGGAGCAGGGTGGTGGTGGTGGCCACAGCTAAGGTGGCAGTGAGGAGCATGTGAAGAGCAGGCTCTATGTCCTTATTCTATAGCTTTTTTCCCTCCCCATATTTTCTAGTTGTCTCCAGCAGGTCCCTGGATGATCACTTCAGTGGGTCCCACTCCACTACTCTGCACTCTGTGATATGCCTGCAACCAGGCTTTTGACAGTTTCTACTGAATTTTTGTCTTAAAATTATATCATCACAAATAGGAATAACTTGACTTCCTATTTTTCTATTTGTATAACACTTATTTCCTTCTCTTATCTAATTGCCCTAGCTATGACTTCCAACATAATGGTTAAAAAGAGGGGTTAGAGTGGGAAGCCTTGTCTTGTTCCAGTTTTCAGGGGAAGTGTTTCCAGTTTCTGTTCATTTAGCAATATGTTAGCTGTGGGTTTATCTTAGATGGCTTTTACTATTTGGAGGTTTCTATACCTAGGTTTTTGTGGGTTTTTATGAAGAAGCAATCTGGATTTTATCAAAAGCTTTTTGTACATTGATGAGATGATCGTGTGGTTCTTTTTTTCTTTTTTTAGCATCTGTTGATGTATTTAATTACATTTATTGTCTTGTGAGTGTTGAACCAGTCCTGTTTCCTGGGGATGAAGCTTACTTGGTCATGATGGATTATTTTTGAGTTGCGTTTTTGGAACTGATTTACTAGAATTTTGTTGAGGAGTTTTGCATCTTTGTTCATAAGGGCCATTGGTCTGTAGTTCTCTTTTTTTGTTAGATCCTTATGCAGATTGGGTATGAGTGTGATACTAGCTTCATAAAATGATTTTGGGAGAATTCAGTATTTCTCAATTGCCTGGAATACTTTCAATAGGATTGGTATCAACTCCTCCTTGTACATTTTGCAGAATTCTGCTGGAAAGTCATCTGGTCCAACATATTTCTTTGCAGGCCGTTTTCTTAAGACAGAGTCATTTTCCTGGGTCATTATTGGTTTATTTAGTGTCTCAATGTCTTCTTGCTTCAACCTGGGAGGTTGTGTGACGTCAAAAATCCTCCATTTTATTTAGGTTATTAAGTTTGTTTCCATATATGTGTGTATAGTAATGTCTCATTATCTTTTGTATTTCATTGGGGTAAATTGTGATTTGAACTTTTATATTTCTGATTCTGTTTATTTGTGCTTTTTCTCTCTTTTTCTTGGTCAGTCTGGCTAGGGGTCCATCAATCTTGTTAATTCTTTCCAAGAATCAGCTTTTTTTTTGTTGATGTCTTCTATGATGTTTTTAGCTTCTAAGTCTTGTATTTGGACTCTTATTTGGATTCTTCTCGTAAAACTGGGATTTTAGTGGTCTCCTCTTTCCAGTTCCTTTAGGTGATGTGTTAGGTCCTCAACTTGTAATCTTTGCATTATCTTGATATGTGCTTGTAGAGAAATAAATTCCCCTCAGAACTGTTTCATGGCATCCCAGAGGTTTTGGTAAGATGTTTCTTCATTTTCATTTGTTTCCAGGAATCTTTTAATTTCTCCTTTGATTTCAGTGTTGACCCAGTAGTTGTTCAGCATCATGCTGTTTAGTGTCCATCTCTTTGTGGGCTTTAGGGAACTTTGTTTGTGTTGATATTTATTTTTATTCTACTGTGGTCTGAGAATGTGCGTGGCAGTATTTCAACCATATGGAATCTGTTTATGCTTTATTTATGGTCATAAACCATAAATCTTGGAGTACATTCCATGTGGTGATGAGTAGAATATATATTCTGTGGTTGTTGGGCGGAATAATCTGTAGGTATCTATTAAGTATATTTGGTTGAATGTGAAGTTTAGGTTATGGATCTCCTTGGTGATTTTTTGCCTCAGTGATCTATCTAGGGCTCTTAGTGGGGTATTCCAGTCACCTGCTTCAATAGTGTTAGAGTCCTTTTTTTTTTTAGTTTACTTAGTAGTTGTTTTATAAATGCCTGTGCTCCATCCTGATGACATTGGCTCCCCTTTCATGTGTGTTCCTTATGAGCTCAGGATGGCTACTGTAGTTACAATTACCACACTTACGTTCAAGAGAAAACATTCTGAACAAGCCCAGTCTGTTTTCTTTTCTTTCTTTCTTTCTTTATTTCTTTTTTTTTTTGAGTTGGAGTCTCACTCTGTCGCCCAGACTGGAGTGCAGTGGCCACTCCCGGCCACTGCAACCTCTACCTGCTGGGCTCCAGCGATCCTTCTGCCTCAGCCTTCTGAGTAGCCAGGCATGCGCCACCACGCCTGGCTGATTTTTTGATTTATTGTAGAGATGAGGTATCACCAAGTTGCCCAGGTGGGTCTCGAACCTGCGGAGTCAGGCAATCCACTCACCCCAGCCTCCCAAAGCACAGGATTACAGGCTGAACCACTGAGCCCAGCTCTTTTTTGTTTTCTTCCCAAGACCTAATTTTCCCTGAGAGGATCTCCAGTCAAATGGCATATCCGTCCATGGGCTCACTTTTGTCTTGATGATCAATACTGTGTGAGAGTGAGCAGGAAAAAGCAAAAGTCTAGTTTTATTTTTTATTGTAATTTATGTTTTATTAACACATTATTTCACTATGTTGCTCAATCCGATCTCAAATTCCCGGTCTCAAGTGATCCTGCCTCAGCCTCCCAAATTGTTGGGATTATAGACAACAGCCCCCAAGTCTTGCCAAGAGTATAGCCTTGATAAGTAGAGGTGATGATTAATATTTAGTAGCAGATACATGCTGAGTTTACTGCTTTTTCTTCTCCACTCACCACCCAAATATGACTCAGACCTAGAACAAGGACTGTGGCTTGTTCCTGCTGAATTCCCAGGATGAGATGTGGGCAAGACAAGAGTGGGTCTGTTTGTTGGGTGGATGTTCTCCTGTCTCTCATGTTGGTACAATAGCCACCACTGACCCAGGATGGCCTAGTATCAACAGACATCAACTGCAAGAGCCTGTTCTTGAGTCCTGTGACCCCCTGTGCCAAGCCCTGGTATTAGTCCCATGACGACTCACTACCCAAAGACATGTGTAGGTATCCTCAGATGGGGCCTGCCTCCTCCTTCTACAAATAGGTGTGTTCATACCTATTTGGGAGAACTGAGTCCTCATGCCTAGTCTTGACCCAGGCAGGGACCATGCAGAGAAGAAGAATTTCTTCCCTGGGGCCAGCAGTCCATGGATCAGGGAATCAGGGACCTTAGCAACAGGTTCTGAATACACACCTGGACCAAGGAGCCCCCTGAGCCTCCAGCAGCCAGTGTGGATCAGCCACCATGGGTCCAAAAAGAGTCACCCAACAAAACCACCTGGATGGGCTGGGCTTGGGGGTCAGGGAGATGTTGACATGCAGGAAGGTCAGTGACCATGACCTGAGACCCAGAGGGAATGTATCATTTTGCTATAACATTGTCCTTATCTCTAATGTATAGACCCTTTTACCCAGGTCTCTCACACCTGATTCTTGTAGCATTTGCCTATTTCCCTAACACTAGTCCAAGTTCTGTACTTCAATTATCCCAGCCCATGCAGTCATCCTGACACTCTGTACCTTTCAAACATTTCCCAACATCAGGTCTGACGTGACCCTAAGAACTTTGGGGTTACTGAGGCAGGGCTTCTATGACTTGCCCCAGTAGCTTGATCAAGGGCTGATCTTTAAAAAATGCATCTTTAAAAACTCCATGTGTTCTTGGCAATGAGGAATATTATTCAAGCTCTGCCATTCAGGAGCTTTGCTTTGGGCCAGTCATAGAACCTATCAAAGTGGCATTGGAACCTGGAAAATAGGGTATAAAATGCAGAGAGAACCCCCTTTGTACTATGTGGCCAGGCCAGCACAGGATTTAAACCAAGGCACAGTCTGCAACTGTAGTCTTCAGAGCCCCTTTTCCCTCCCTTGGTTCCTTGGGGATGAACCCTTTTCTGGAAACCACAATCCTCCTCCAGTAGCAGCCTCTGAGTTGGGCCGATTTGCATCCTGTACATCTCTCCCCAGCCAGGGGATAAGAGATGCATGGGAGGACCTGCTCAGCCTGGGCCTTGGGAAGCAGCATTAGGGGGAGACTCCAGTATGGCCTGGACTTCTTTTCTCCTTGGTCTCCTTGCTCACTGCACAGGTGCTGCCCCAGGGTCCCCCTCAACAGTCCAGGCACAAGGCTTAAGGACAAGCCAGTCCCTGACTCTAAGAACAGCAGGGCCCTGCGTGTGGTGACCAGGATGCTCTTGAACCTACTGCAGGAGGAAGGACTGCTGGGCTGAAATCCCCCCACACAGTGCCCTGTGCTCACTGGTGCCATGAGGCCCTTTCATTCCTGGAGCTTGTACAGGCCAGGCAAGTGGAAAGATATTCATGAGGTGAAACCCTCGGTTTCAAGTTTGTTTTTCTCCCATTTTCTCTCCTTGCTGGTTCTGTTGTCCGCTATGAGCTGACTTAGCCACCCCCAGTGTTTTTGTCCCCACAACAGACAGCTAGACATGGGGCTTGTGGAGCAGTCTTACCTGACACAGTGAGCACAGATGTACCACAGCATAAGCCACAGACAGACACTGCCCACCTCCATCCTCCAGGTCCTGCACAGAATCATTCTCACCAACCCTAACAAATACATTCACAGGTCAGTTACAGAAAACACAACAAAGCATGTCAAGAGGTCAGGTAAAAACCATCGCAGCCCACACTTGTCAAAATGCTTTCTGCTACCAACACAAGCCAGGCCAGCCCCTTGTGCTAGTCATTTACTATAATAACAAGTGGTCTTCAGGGATCCCTGAGTGATTCTCTGGCTCCAACTCAGGAAACCCAGCCATGCTGACCATTGGTGGGACCCAGGCCAGGGATGAGGCTGACTATTACTGTCATGTATGGGACTGTGGCCAGGCCTTTCCCATTTGTGTCACTGTTTTTATCCATTCCTAGGAGGTCTGTGGACAAAGCCATAAGCAGAGCTTGCACAGTTAACCCAGAACAGAGATTTCCTATCTGCCCTTCCCTGCAGCTTTCCAGGAAGGTGCTGCACAGCATGAGTCAGGCATAGATATTGCCTGGCAGGACCAGAGTTATCAGGGAAGTTTGGGCTGTTGTGTGTGAATTACAGAATGAGGACCTGAGTGGAAGGACACACAGAGGAAAGTCCCAAAGTTGTCTTGTCCCTGAATGGACATATGATGATGTCAGGACCACTCCTTTGGCTAACTGTCTACATCAGTCCCCAGAACTTCTCTCTCTCTGCTATGGTAGCAGCTTGTGACTCTTAAGTGAGGAAAACAGTGGAGAGGACACTGTGGGATCCACCCAGATTCCTCTTCAGGAAGACTGACTCAGTCAAGCTGAGAGTCTCTGATAGCCCAGAGCTATGCCTTCACTGGCAAGCACTGTGAGATACAGAATATGTCCTTCCACTAGTTTATTCCCCTTTTCAGAGAATTTTGGTTTGAGGACTGTGGGGTCAAGATTCCAAGACCCTGCCTCAGTCTTCAATGATCTTGGAGGTCCTCACAGTTAAGTGGTCCCTGTGTGGATGCTGAGACCTCATTTGCACCCACATTGCAGATCAGCATCCCCTTCTGCCCAGTGTTGACTCTCTCACATCCTTCCAGACGCTCTGTGCATGCAATTCCCCACCTCAGAGTCTGCTTCCAGAAAACTTCACCTAAGATGGTCACTGTCTTCACACAGACCATCAGGGACCTGAGGAGGTCACTATACACTCTGGATACTTACCTAAATTTCCAATGTGAACATCCAAATGGCCAGCTTGGTCCTTGGGTTTCTATAGAATGAAAGGGAGCCTGATGGGCTGGGTGATCTGGGTCCTGAAGGAGAGATGGAAAGTCAGATCCTGCTGCAGGGACCTGGGGCAGGTTGAGCAGTCTCATCCAAAACAGTGAGTGCAGATGCAGCCACAGCAAGAGCCACAGACAGACACTGCCCACCTCCATCTTCCATGTCCTGCACAGAATCATTCTCACCAACCCTAACAAGTACATTATGGGTCCGTTACAGAAAACACAACAGAGCATGTCAAAGTGATCAGAAAAAGCCATCACAGCCCACACTTTTTAATAGAAACCCCTTTCACATTTCATTCAATGATTAAAAACACCATATAAAGAATAAAAAAAGTCAAGAAAAATTGTAAACTATAAATAATTTTTATATTGATTACCTATGAAAGTAATCCTTTTTGGATTTTTGTGTTAAATAAAACATTACTTAAAGAAATTTCCGTGTCTTATCTCCTTATTTTTATGGTGTGACTAGACACTACAATTCACAAGCAACTCACATCATGCTGATATTGGACAGAGTGGGTCTGGATCCCTCAGGTAACAGGTATGGTGGAATCTTCTGGTGCAGGAAGCCAGTGTCCTCCCACAGGACATAAGTGAGAACCCAAGGAGAGGTGCTTATATGAACCAGTTGATTATGTAGGTGACTGAGTCTCTGGCCCCTGCTCATTCTCTATCCTAGATGACCATGTCCAACTTTCTGTGGGTCACTGCTATGCCAGCCTGGGCTCACAACTGGGGGATATAATGGTTCTGGCTGTGTGGTCATTTGGTGTCCAATTTTGTCCTGTATCTGTCAGGATACAAGAAAACACCATGGGTTGTTGTTCCAAAGGGAAATAATGGTGTTCTGCAGATGCCATGGGTCTACATTGGGAATTTCCTGTGGAGTTTGCCATAAGCACAATTCCTTTCACTAATTTCCCTCTCAGGGTAGAACCTGCTGGATTCTACGTCCAAAACAGCAGGATACACACATTCCCACCTGCACCTGCTGCATATCCTTCCTACTCTGGGCTCCAGAAAAAATGGGTGATATTCATGGCTCCTGATAAATGAGTTGGAGTCACATCTCCATGAGTAAAATATACTGCTTCTAGAAACCATTATGGTCCCATAAGGTTTTGTGCTTCTTTCTTTTTGGTGGGAATTTTAGACTCTAATAAAGTCTCCTTTATTTTGTTTTTCAATTTTTTTTTGGTTTGATATTTTTCCAAAGTTTCACTTTGTTCTCTTCCCTATTATCTACCATGTTTGGAAACGTTCTATCCATTCATTTCAACAGTGTTCTGTTTTATTCTCAGATTATCTATGTGTTAGCTACTCTGAAGCTTTTTTGAGATGTTACCCAACAACTGTGTCATCTCTGGATAATCATCCATTGATTGTCTTCCCATGTCATTAGATATTGTCCTGCTTTTTAGTGTGCTAAATGATTATGGATTATATCCTGCACATATCTAATAATATCTAACAAGGTTCTGAGTTCTGTATATCATATAAGGTCTGACAATTAAATTTGTGAACTCCTCTTAGAAAAAGGGCTACATACCTAACTGCTGATTATCACTATGGTCACCTTCAAAATACTCCCATTGAGAAGTTATGCATTGATAACAGCTCTTAGTCCACCAGTCAAAGCAATTTTGGAACTCTTTTCCTGGAATGGTCATCAGAGCTGTCACTGTGAGAATGTCAGGGTCTGAATTAGAACAGCAAAAAAAATTAAATTTCTACTAAACTTGGCAAGAGTGGAAATGAAATCAGAGACATGATAGTCCAAGTTTATGGGAATAATGCCATGAAGAAAACAGTAGTGTACAAATGGATTAAATATTTTTCTTAGAGGAGAGAAAGTGTCACTGTTGAGAAAAGTTCAGGACAGGCAGTAATGAGCAGAACTGATGAAAACGTTGCAAAAATTCATCAGATTGTGCATCAGAATCATCAGCTGACTGTGAGAAGGATAGCTGAACAAATAAACATCAGTAGAGAAACAGTTACAAAAATCTTAACTGAAAATCTTGGCATGAGAAAGGTGGTCCCAAAGAAGCTCTTGTATCATGACAATGAACCAGCACACGCAGCACTGTCTACGGGGATTTTTAATCAGTAAACAAATAGTTGCATTGGAGCATCCTCCTTACTCAGCTGATCTGGCCCCCAATGGCTTTTTTCTTTACCAAAAAGAAATGTTTCTATAAAAACAAATGTTTACCATAAAGGAAATATTTAAATGTTTGATGGCATTGAAGACTACAGCTCTGATGGCCATTCCAGAAAAAGAGTTCCAAAATTGCTTTGATGGGTGGACTAGGTGCTGGCTTCCCAAGGAGAGCACTTCAAAGATGACCATAGTGATAATAACCAATGAGGTATGTAGCACTTTCTTAGGATAAACTCATGAACCTAATTGTCAGTCTTTGCTTTAGTAGTCAATCTACATGATTTTTTGGTATCTGGAGAAAAGAAGGGAAAAAATACTAATTCTACTTCTTTGGACTTAGGCCCCAAGTTCTGCGAATTATGTTTTCCATTTTTATAACCTTATCCTTGTGTTTACATCTGTCCTGGGTGTGCACAATTGAATGTCATGTGTGAAAACTGAATGATGATCTATGCATTAATTTTGTGCTTAAAGTCTATTTTATTTAATTAAGGATTACATCTGTACTTGCATAGTGTAGTAGTAAAGCCAGAAATTCATTTACTAATTACACCATTTCTTGCCCAAACTCATTCCTATTCACAGGCTTCCAGTGTTTTCCAGTTTCTGGACTTCTTCTTTGTGATACTCAGGACAGGAAATTAAGACTTTAAAGTTACTTTGTAGTACAGGAACTTCCTGTAACTGAGCCCATGTCAGGAGTCAAGTACCAGGAAAAGAGAAGAAAGGGTACTGAGTCAGTGCCCTTAGCCCCCATTGCTGTTCAAGGACCAACTGTATACATTATGTACATACACATATACAGCAAAATTTTAAGTTCCTCCTTGGGAAAACATTCTTTGAATGAAGAAAGAAAATTTCCCACTTCCTCTGTGGTCACTGCTGCACCACATAAAATATCTGAGAGTCTGGGATATGGAGAATACAGAGAGAAAAAAATAAAGGAAATGTGATTTCCTCAACTCAATTTCAGCATTAGAACTTTCCTTTCCCACCTTCAAACTGACAAGATGGATACCCTGGATTGAATTTTTTTCAGGCTTGGGCCCCTTCAGTATTTTGGTTGCATTGAATCCAAGCCAGGAGACAGA